GACTGCACGAACAAGCCTCTCCGCAGTAGCGACCGGCTGTTTTGCAAGGACATCCAGTCCTTTTTCTTCCTGCTTTCGTAGAGCAAGTGCTTGTACACTGGCAAGAGTTAGGGACGTTGTCCTGCGCAAACGGGAAGGAAATAATGTTGACTAGATTTCGCGCAATCGAGTGGAATAAACTGCGGTATTCAGAAGTCCAGGAAGAGTAGAGCGCGAGTCGCTGACTACAAAAGCGGCAAGAAAGTTGTGGCTAAATTAATACACGGATACATACCGCAAAAGAGCGACTTTGTTCCGAAGAAAGGCTCATTTCTGTAAAAGGTTCTAACGACAATAAGGAATCTCGATGAAGGTTTCGCAGCGCGAGTTGGCTTTTCACATGGGCTCATATAAACATGGCCTTGTTTACATCATTTGCATCTGTCAAATGCAAGCATGCGCAGTAGCCGTGACACAGCCCCTTTAATCTCCTGAGACAAAATGGCCGCCGGGTGACAAAGGTCTATTGCAATGTGGAAAAGAAAAATAGGGAGGAAAGTGAAAATTGTTTTTCGTGGTAGAAAGAGATATTTTGCTTTTTGTCCTCATTAAATTTGCACGATTTACAAGCCAAGAATCAATGAGCTGGGATTTGAACAATTTGTTGGTCAATGAAAGCGGCAGCCAGTAGAACTTGTATAATTACGTAACGACTAAGTGACAACATATACCAACCAATGAATAGTGTTCTTAGTTTTTAGTCAAGGAACAAAAAGCAGGGCCTCCATTGACCTAGAAATTACCAGAAAACCTGTTCAACGGAATGAGTCACCTAAAATAGCGCATAACCTTATCTTCATGAGAATCCTCGGTATTTTAATAATGGGATAAAGACAAAGGGTTATGACGTCATCATCGTTACTGCATCCCTCCGCAAGTGAATGCGATTTCTCCGCAAAAAGCGGGTCCATTTCATTTCTTCTATACTACTGATAATATTGCAGAGAGGAGACGTTAGCCTTTATTTTCTAACATAGGCACGTTTAACGTGCACGAGCTATTTTGAATGCCTCGGTGTAAACGTATCAACAATCTACTGTTTTAATCCTAAATTTAGACTATTTTTCGTGCGAAATTGGGTATTGTTGTACATGAATGAAAACACGAAACGCTGGGCACAGCTGACTCGATCATCATACTACAGATTCACTTTTCTTAGTCTTTTCTTCGAACATCTGGTGCAAAATAAACAAATTGTTATAGTACCATGTATATCAACTCACCAAACGTTGCTTAGAGGGAAGACTAAAGAGTTTCAATTAAGGTTTCTTCATGATGTCTTAAGATAATGAAGCTCGTTGAATACCGAATAGCTAAGAAATGTCACGTTTTTCATCATTGTTGTAGTTGGCTGCATCATCATTAGTCACGAGGTTGTCACGTGCGATTCTATACTTTAAAATGAAACAGTCTTTAACTCTGACGACTTGATTCTACAAGTATTATAAGTTATTGTTTCTTAAAAGAAAAGAGCCTTTACTTAAGGCACTAGTTACAAAGCTAAAGAGGTCTTCATACGTTCAACTTACTATTATTACTATTATTACAGTTTGCACGTGAAAGTGTTGGACTTTGCCCCTTTCGTGGTTCGTACGTGAGAGAATTCGAGTTATCACACAGTAATCCAGTAAGGAGGATTATAAAAATAACTCATGCACACAATTTGCACGTGAAGATGTTGCACTTTGTCCGTTTTACAACTCGTACGTGAAAAAACGCAAATTGTTTACTGGAAAATTTGCTCAAACGATTTTAAGAAATTACCTCGGCTTTACAACATCTGCAATTAAATCATGCTTCATGCAACGTTAAGGTCGATAGCCTAACATTTATTTACTTCCCATAACATTATCAAACTGCCGAAATATATTTCTACTAATATCATGTTATTTCACTTAATAAAACAATATCTAATTATTTTGTCAACTAGCTTCTTCAAATTTTTATTCCCTAACGCTATTTTTTCTACTTAGGTTACACATCTTTACTGAATGAAATACGTTTCAATAACTATAATGACTATTAAGCAGCAAGCATGTGTCATGTTGTTCACTTAATTCATGTTTTTTTGCTGGAACGAAGAAGGTCTGTTGAACTTTGTAAGCGAGAGAAAAAAAGCTTTTTTTATAGGATTAACTTACTCGGTACAGCTTTCAAACAAATTTAAAAAATGCCTTTTAAATTTCTAAAGCCACAATTTATAGGCCGCACACATGTACTTCCGAATTTAAGTCCATATCTAAATATGAGGGTATATCTATGACAAAATTCAATAACCTAAGAGTGAAAAGGGTTAAGTCAAATCTGAAATATACCGAGTCAAAGTTGGCAAAAAAAAGATCACGCTAAAAGGAAGAAATACTAAGAAAGCTACTATCATATAGGTATCACGCAGAAAAAGGCATCACGCTAAAAGGCAACACGCAAAGAGGCATAACGCAAAGACCCAACACGCAAAAAGGCATAACACAAAGAGGTATCACGCAAGGAGCCAACACGCAAAAAGAAATAACGCAAAAAGGCAGTACGCAAAGAGGCAACACGCAAAAAAGCATCACGCAAAAAGGCAGTACGCAAAGAGGCATAACGCAAAAAGGCAACACGCAAAAAGGCATCTCAAAAAAGGCAACTTGCAAAGGACATCACGTGAGAATTTTACTTAGGATCCAGGCCTGGATCTTAAACAGTATTATTTGGTACATACTTCAAGCCAACCGAAGTGGTATTCGAACGAGACATTCCATATTGCTCACCTCGCGAAGTGCTTATTCGGTACCTTAAGCGTGCCCTGATTGATATATTACAACAAATCCAAAACGGAATTGACAGCGATTTCATTTTTTTCCGGCTGAAAAACTTAATTGATTTACTTTTGAGATCGGCACATGTTTACCAAGATGGCAGGAAAGGTTTTAGCGGTTCTTCGTGAAGCGTTAACAGCAGGGGAAAATTGCCGTCAATCTAAGGATGATCCCACCACATGAGCGATTGGTGTTGCCTTTTTGCGCTATGCCTCTTTGCGTACTGCCTTTTTGCGTGATGCCTTTTTGCGTGTTGCCTCTTTGCGTTATGCCTTTTTGCGTTTTGGCTCTTTGCGTGTTGCCTTTTGCGTGATGCCTCTTTGCGTTATGCCTTTTGCGTGTTGCCTCTTTGCGTTATGCCTCTTTGCGTGATGCCTTTTAACGTGATGCCTTTTTCTGCGTGATACCTATATGATAGTGGCTTTTTCAGTACCTCTTCCTTTAGCGTGGTCTTTTTTTTGCCAACTTTGACTCGGTATATTTCAGATTTGACTTAACTCTTTTCACTCTTAGGTTATTGAATTTTGTCATAGATATACCCTCATAGAGATTCACCAGATGGTGCAAACTCATAAGAAGGTAAATAAAGTAGACTCAGTGGAAATTCGAAGCTTAACAACAGACGCCTGCATACACATGAAAAGGACCCATCACCCTCCTCTGACACACCACTTAACCTCTTGGGCTTCATTTTCACTCGGATGATTTCATCATCTGATCGCAAAAGAGGATATTCGATTCACCTTACCCAAAACATTGGCATCATCTCGAATACATCCTCACAAGGCGAGCTATCCTATCGTGCATCACGCTTACACGTACCTTCGTGACAGCTCAGAAGGTGACACTGACCATTCCCTGATGTAGAGCAAAGTGAAACTACATGCAAAGAGAAATCTCTCCCCCAGCCTCTCTATTGGAAAAGTCCAAGAAAGATTGGATTACTTCAGAGATGCAGTCAAGGGATCAGCCATGCCCAACTTCGGCAAGAAGAAAAACAAATCTGCAGACTGTTCGAGGGGCATATAGAGACAATAACTCCAGCAATAGAAGAAAAGAGAAAAGTGTTAATTGGATAAAAGATCTGCCCAAGTGAACAAAATCTACAGGTTCTAGAGGCAGCACGTAGTAATGTGCAACGCTGCAACAGACGCTGTGCAAATAAATACTGGCCTGAACTCTGTGCTAATATTCATTCTGCTGTTAAGACATATTATTAAGGCCATATGTACGAGGAAATCAAGCAGGCACTTGGTCGTTCTCAGAAAAAAACCAGCTCCCTTAAATTTTCCTACGGGCGAGATAATCCAGGACCGAGCGCAACAGATGGAGCACTGGGTAGAACATTACCCTGAGCTGTCTGCCAGGGAGAGAATATGGTGTCTTTGGAAGCACTAAACGCCACAGAGTGCTTACTCATGTATAATAAGTCTACTAAAGTGGAGCTGAAAGAGGCCCTGGAGTACCTGCACCTGGGAAAGTGCGCGGCCAGGATGGTGATACCAGGGCGTGAGTGATACTCTGCCTGTGCTAGAGGGAAAAAAGGTACCACAATGATGAGAGACGCAAACATAGTCACTCTATACAAAAACAAGCCGGCCAGAAGAGACTGCACCAACAATTATCAAGGCATCGAATTCCCCGGTATCGTTATAAAGCTCTTTGCTTGAGTAGTTGTAATGCGTCTCCATGTGCTTGCAGAGAGATTTTATCCTGAGTCATGGTGTGGTTTCCCCGCTAAACGATCAATACTATTAGGTCTAATAGCTTGTCCAGCCCGGCGATCAGTTCGGTCAAGGCTTCGCCGCAATGGCCACAAACGTTACTTCATTTAACTTGACTTGTGTACGTGTGTGTGTGCGTGCGTGCGTGTTTGCTTTTTAATGAATAACAAAATTACAGAAGAATAAAGTCAACCTTGTTAAAGGGCCATGATTAGTTTTACTATAATGTTCCCTTCTCCATTCTAATTTTCTTCTTTTATTATTACTTCGGCGGAGCGCGAAGTAAAGGATTGGCGATGCTCAGGAATGTATCAAAGTTGCCATTTTTTGACAAGATTGGGCAAGCAAAGTGTGCAAGTTTTCGGTTATATTCGGCTATTTGACGAAGTGAGAGCCGAATTAGTTCGACATACCTCGAGATCACTTCGATTTCTTTGACTTATTCTTAAACTTTTTCGAGGAAGAAAGAATTATTATTTTGGCTTTCCCGGGGTTTGAACCGACTCACCTTTGTGACCCGTCAGATCAGAGGAGACTCTAAGTTGAAGGATTAGCCAATTGCGCTACTGCCACCCAAGGCAGGTCACCTATGAAAAATAGTTATAAAATGATGCACTAGTTTCGGGAGAAGATTGGGGGTGCAAGTTCGTGACTTTTCGGCTTGTTTCAACTATTTCACGAAATGAGACCGGACTACTTCGTGATATCTTGAGATCACTTCGAGTTTAGTCTTTAATTACTCGAGGAATAAACAGAGGATATTTCGTGGCCGCGCAGAGACACGAAATTTCTCTTCGAGTGTTGAAAAACATTTCACGAGTGAGCCCTCCTTTCGAAATGTTTTATGATGAATTTAAAGTTACAAAATGTCGCACAAAGACATTTTGCCTTTGCTGAGTGTTACGTAGTAAAATTGCTTTCATGCGTTGCGTGACCTTCTAGAACGTTCTCTACGTTTTTGGATTATTCATGAATAATTAATTAGGGCATGTTTACATTTCAGCATCTGTAACTGGAATCATAAAATATGTCGAAAAGCTACTACTATTCGCTTGTTTAGTATTTTCTAGAACCTTATGTCAAACGGTATACAAGTTCCAAGCGAGTTCTTTTGACGAACTAAGTTTTTTCCCACGAGCTGGACTGCTGTGTTTAGTCAAGTGTGACGAAGGTCGAACTTCAAGTTCTGTGTTTACAAGTTCGTGAAAGCCGTAAGGTAGCTGAAGTTCAAGTGAGAGTTTGTTATTATTAGTAGAGGCTGTTTGGTTTTACTCAAAGTTCAAGTCAAGTTTGTGTTGGCGGATGCTGTGTTTTAAAACTCTGTAAAGGCTATGTTCCTTTGGTGTTAAACTTCCTTGTGTTAATCCGACATCCCTGCGTGCTGATAGTCAGTGAATAATATTATCCTCAAAACATTCGAACACGTGACTTTGAGTTTTAGCCAATTCCATGCTCAACGTAATTGACTCCTTACCCATGTCTTACATAGATGGAGTAAAAATAAAATACAAAATACATTTAAATCTACGGTGGCCCGTAAGGGACATTACAATATATTTTTTCCCTTAAGTTATCGCGCGATAAGTTGAAATTATCGTGCGATAACTTTGAATTATCGCGCGATAATTAGTCATTTTATCGCGCGATAATTAGTTAGTTTATCGCCCGATAAATGAGAAAATTTAAAAATTATCGCGCGACAAATGAGAAAATTTAAAAATTATCGCGCGATAAATGAGAACATTTAAAAATTATCGCGTGATAATTACGGTCAGTTTATCGCGCGATAAATGAGAAAATGTAAAAAACTATCGCGCGATAATTAGTCAGTTTGAGACAATGCAAGGGGTGACAGGCCGTACATCTATACCGGCGCCTGCTTGTGTAAACCTTTTTTATTTTAGCTCTAACTAGCATGTCCTTTAGGGATTTTCCTTTCTTCTTGGTTCTTTAAAAATTTGGCGAAGTAACGGTTGGTTCTTTTAAAGTAGACACTGAGGGCTGGTACTGTGTCACGAAAGGCATTTTTTTTCCCCTTTGTTGTTGTGTTTCAGGAGTGCAGACTCCCTCTTTGTGAACTTTATATCTGATAGAAAGTTTTTTATCATAGTTTGTGGGTAGCCTCTGTCAATCAAGCGTTTTTTGAAATTTGAAATATTTTCCTCAAAAGTAGTTTTTGAGGAGTTTGTTCGTAGGATTCTCAAGGCTTCTCCTTTAACAAATCGTTTTTTAACACACGGCGGGTGACAAGAGGTGAAATGTGTGTACTGGAAGGTTTCCGTTCTTTTAAAATGTGTCTTTACGTCAAGGATAGATTTTACCTTGAATCTTGTGGCTTTGTATACAACCGTGTCTAAAAACACAGTCTCAGTGTCAGATATTTCGGCCGTGAATTTGATAGTTGGGTGTGATGTAAGTTTGCCTGTTCGATGTACGCTTCGCGTTTCGATGTCTGGTTTACTTATGTCCCACAGGGAAAAGATATCGTCAATGTAGCGTTTCCAAACTGTAGGTTTAAAAACGGTTCTGCTTAGAATTGTGGATTAGGTGTTTGAGATTAGGTGTTTGAGATAGCCATTTTCTTGTCATGTCATCAATATGATTTTCACGGTGAAGATCCGTAATTAGGCGCAAGACCTTGCTGCGCGTTTCTTTCAACATGGGTTGAGAGAGAGGTCTGTAGTTATGTTTGTCGCCGATTTGTATTTGACCCTCTCTTATTACTTCGGCGGAGCGCGAAGTAAAGGATTCGCGACGCTCAGGAATGTATCAAAGTTGCAATTTTTTGACAAGATTGGGCAAGCAAAGTCTTTAGGTTTTCGGTTCTATTCGGCTATTTGACGAAGTGAGAGCCGAATTAGTTCGAGATATCTCGAGATCACTTCGATTTCTTTGATTTATTCTTTAACCTTTTCGAGGAAGAAAGAATTATTATCTTGGCTTTTCCGGGGTTTGAACCGACTCACCTGTGTGACCCGTCAGATCAGAGGAGACTCTAAGTTGAGGGATTAGCCGATAGCGCTACTGCGACCCAAGGTAGTTTGGGATATGAAAAATAGTTATGAAATGATGTACTAGTTTCGGGACAAGATTGGGCGTACAAGTTCGTGACTTTTTGGCTTGTTTCAACTATTTCACGAAATGAGACCGGACTACTTCGTGATATCTTGAGATCACTTCGAGTTTAGTCTTTAATTACTCGAGGAATAAATAAAGGATATTTCGTGGCCGCGCAGAGACACGAAATTTCTCTTCGAGTGTTGAAAAACATTTCACGAGTGAGCCCTCCTTTCGAACTGTTTTATGATGAATTTAAAGTTACAAAATGCTGCACAAAGAAATTTTGTCTTTGTTGAATGTTACTTAGTAAAATTGCTTTCATGCGTTGCGTGACTTTCTCGAACGTTCTCTACGTTTTTGGATTATTCATGAATAATTAATTAGGGCATGTTTACATTTCAGCATGAGTCAGCAGATTTGCATCAGTTACTGAAATTATAAAATATGTCGAAAAGCTACTACTATTCGCCTGTTTAGCCTGTTTAGTAAGTTCCAAGCGAGTTCTTTTGACGAACTAAGTTTTTTCCCACGAGCTGGACTGCAATTTTCAGGTTCTGTGTTTACAAGTTCGCGGAAGCCGTAAGATAT